TTGTACTGGTGATGTGACACAATATTCTGTTTCCTGTACTGGATGTCTGACACCATATCTCGTTTCTTGTACTGGTGATGTGACACAATATTCTGTTTCCTGTACTGGATGTCTGACACCATATCTCGTTTCTTGTACTGGTGATGTGACACAATATTCTGTTTCCTGTACTGGATGTCTGACACCATATCTCGTTTCCTGTACTGGCGATGTGACACAATATTCTGTTTCCTGTACTGGATGTCTGACACCATATCTCGTTTCCTGTACAGGTGATGTGACACAATATTTTCTTTCCTGTACTGGTGGTCGGACACCATATCCTGTTTCCTGTACTGGTGATGTGACACAATATTCTGTTTCCTGTACTGGATGTCTGACACCATATCTCGTTTCCTCTACTGGTGATGTGACACAGTATTCTGTTTCCTGCACTGGTGGTCGGACACCATATCCTGTTTCCTGTACTGGTGATGAGACCTCATGTTTTTTTTCCTGTACTTGTAGTGTAACACCATGCTTTGTTCCATGCACAACTGACGTAGCTCTAGCCATCAAAACCAATCCTTTTTTACTGCAAGCTGTTATATAAAATATCTCATGCGCAACCTGAAAAATAGAAACGGTTCTTCTGTTCATTTATGATTAGAGGAAGATTCAATGCATTCTAATTTAGAATTGCTACAGTGTGAGAGATAGATAAGAACAAAATAAAAAAGGTAAAAGTTATGTTATTTAGGTTCCGACTGTTATGGCATTGTTGTTTTCCACTTTGCCTCAACTCACTTGACATTCAAAACCCTGCATAACGCTATGTACCAGTATGAAAATTTTTTATATGTTGCATCAGTAGCTTTGTACATTTTTTAGAACTACATTAAATTGCAGAAGCGTTTTTTTTCAAATTTTTTGGAAAATTTTTTTGCAGTTTATATTACTCTGATTGTTGTACTTGATGAACATAGGATTTATTTTTCGGTACAATAATGCTAAATATAAAAAAAATGCCACCAAAGAAACCATGTCGTAAGTTTTTAACTTTAGCAACGCCATAGTAACGTGTTTTAAACCATATTTTACCCCACAAAAAAGCAAATAAATAGCTGTTTTTGAACTGTACTTTTGGTGTATGTTATTCTAAGCTATTATGGAAAGATTCATTCTAATTGTAGGATTTAGTCGGCATAGCAACGACTTGAAGATGTCTCATCTCACCGATTTACTCGCCTTGCGTAGTTCAAAAATGCTCTCTCAAAAACGTCAGAATAGTCTTTGTACTTCTAAGTTGCCCGTAAAATATTTGTTTTGTTTGATTTGTTGTATATTCTCGTAATTTTTACTTTAAAATATCATGGGAAACATACGGAATAGAAAAAGAAAAGCTGTAGAACTTTGCCATGAAAAATTAAGAAGATGGCCAATTATGGCCGATACTGCTATGAAAATCCTGGCCCTTCCGGAATGAATATTGGCAGCAATACAGAGAAGATTCGCAAATGTCCACCTCCAATGAAAAACGTCAATGAAGGTACAATTTTCTATTGCCTGTTATGAAACAGTTGGCCAATGATAGTATGTTGTCTTGTGCAATAAAAATGAAAGAAGCACTTGACAATGAGAATGGAGGATGTGGCATCTCACTAGATGGGACATTGCATAAGAAAGGGCAACCTCCCATAATGGTGCTGTCACCGCTATATCGCTGGACATCAAGAAATGTCTAGATATAGAAGTGCGTTCAGACAAGTGCCAGCAGGGCTTGAAAAGGCAAATGAAAGTGCATGATGTGAGATATTATGAATGGAAGGCTTCCCACATCTGCAAAATAAACCATAAAGGAAGATCTAATAGCATGGAGACTTGTGGAGCAATCAGAAATTTTGAGAGGTCCATTGTGACCGGAGGTTTGAGATACAAGAATATGTTGGGAGACGGTGACTCACCAACATATAGTGCAATTGTTGAAAGAAAGCCATTTGGAAAAGATTGCATTCCAAAAAAACTAGAATGCATGCACATGGGCAAAAGAGAGTAGGGAGTTGCCTTCGGAAGTTGAAGAGTTCGCATAAAGGAGTAAAACTGGGTGATGGTAAAGGTGTGAGTGGAAAGGATAGATTGACTGATGCTAAAATTGATCTTTTGCAAAATTACTATGGATTGGCAGTGAGAGAGAACCCGCATGACATAGATAAAATGGCAAAAGCAATCAAGGCATCTCTTTATTATGTGGCATCAAGTGATGATAACCCTCAACATGAACTTTGCCCTGATACTGAAGACAGTTGGTGTGGATACAAGAAAGACCCTACTACAGACCATCATAAAAATGGTATACCAAAAGCATTGAGGGGCTAAATGAATCCATTTATGAAAGTCTTTGGGAGGAAAGCTTGTTGCTAAAGTGTACTCATGATTTGACGCAAAATGTGAATGAGTGTCTGAACGGGTTAATATGGGAAAGATGTCCAAAGTCCACATATGTGGAACAGGAAACTGTAGCACTTTCAAGTTACTTAGCTGTCTTGAATTTAATGAAGGAGATATATCATTTCTCAAATTATTTTTTAACTTGGACATACTACCTGGAGTGCTTACTACAAATGGTGCACTGCATTGTGATACCAATCGTATCAAATCATCCTCAAAGAAGAGCACAGAGAAAGTAATGAAAAGAAGAAAACACACAGGCATATGAGAAAAAACTATGTGGATAGTTGTGAACAGAAGGAAGGAAAAACTTATGAATCTGGTGCCTTCTACTCTCAGTAAGATCTTTAAATGCGAATTTCTTTTCCTTATTTCCTTTTAGAAGGAAATCTTGTGGCACGATTACTTTTTCAATGTTTGTTGTAGAAAGCTCAATTTTTTGTTGTAATAGTTAGTTACTGAAACTAATGCATGAAACCTATTTAAAAATTTAATGATGTTTTAAAATAATGAAAAATAAAGGTTCATGCATCAAACGAAGAAAGAAATTTTCCTGAATACACAGTTGTTTCTTATCAACACGACATGCTCATTTCTATGTTAAATTTTGATTAAAATGTCTGGCCATTCACACTCGCGCATTATATATTAGATTATCAGTATTCAATCAAACACATTGCAGTTAGAAAGTATAGAATGTAAAAAGTAATAGATGTTTGTACTTGCCTATTAACTCATCGTAAGTTACTTCTTTGTATTTCAATTGCGTTTGATGTTTAAAATTTATACTCCAAGGTACTATCACAATATTCCTCATTCTGTTTGGAGGGACATGAAAGCATGAACCTTCGCGTAAATATTGGGAACGAGAAAAGTCTCGCGGGAGGTTCCACGACAAATTTTGTTTCAACCTGCTTTGTGAGATCAGAAATTCGTTGCATCCTTACACTTCCTACATTTATTTGCTGTATTGAAATAATCTAAAGCATCTTCAGAAATTTAAAAGTGGATAATAAGATTTCCATTTTTCTTCGTAAATAATGACATTCGTCTAGTTTTTTCGTGACGGTTTAGCCATGTATTCTTCCTAAGATTCCTATTTCTTGTGCGACATGCATGTTTCTTATAAATTGACTTCGTATTTTAGTTTATCGTGAACATTTTTGTATACAAGTAGCTGAGTTTTCTTGAATAAGCTACTTTACAGATGGCAGTTCATTCGATTTCCATATCTTCTATGTTATAACGTCCATTATTTATTTTCCTTGTTTATTGCGTCTATTCGTGTTCCCTGAAATGTGCCAATAAGCAATTCGAACTTGTTCTTGCATACAGCTACAACGAAGTGAATTTGATGATGTCAAAACGATTTTTATCACTTTAAACCACGACTTTTATAGCATTTTTGTATATACAGGCAGCGAGGTGTATTCTTTATAAAAGACGTTCTTACCATGATAAAGCTTTGTAGTTTCAGACTCGGCTTTTAATTGTTTTAATTAAATTTAGGAATTCATTTGGGTGTTTAAATTCCGTGACCATTGTATACATATAGTCATACATCACACATAGTCATCTCGTTTTTTCTGTTGGTAACAAATGTTATGTTGATAAAGTCTGTTACTTATATGTTTGTATATATATAAAGCTATGTAGCTATATCTATGTGCTAACATTTTTAGCGGCAATGTTGTAAATGTTCAACCGAATAGTTTATTGCATTATAAAGTAATGTTTGCATGTTTAGTTTATAATAACAATAACAACTTGGTAAAGACTTCAAAGAGCTTTTGCTCATCACACCTCATGCATAAAATACATTGTACGTGGCGTGCGTAAAATATGTGTTTCAAAGAACGTCTCTGTTGGTTTTTCCCTCCTGTGGAAATAAAAGTGTGTGTGAAATCTTTCGCTTCTTTAACTCCCTAAATGTTATAAATGTTGGAATTTGTTGTCTTCGTTAAGCGTGATTTGATGTTTGAGTTCTGTTCTGATGTCACTTCTTAATCTGCTAAAAGAGTGATATTCTGTTGAAACTTAAGATATGTGTTATTTGTGTATACTGATGTAAAGAGTTTCAGTTAACGAAATGATGTGGTAACAATTCTGTATATACTGCAGTTTAGAGCTTTTGCCTAATCTCATGATGATAGTTTAACCTCTTCTTATAGTTTAGTGTTTTCCTCGGAATAATGATTTAATAGGTCAACAAAGTTCTTATTTTTAATTATTTTGTGTAATCTTTTCATTGTATGCATTATATTCATTGCACATTTTATACGTTATCAACAACGCTATAGTGTGTTATATTTATACAATTCCAATATTGGTTTTGGTGTCGATAACATTGTGGATTTTTCTTATGATGAAGTAATAACTCCACATATATTATTGGGAAGACTGTAAAGCATTCCCTGCACATTTGCATTGTTTTATATTTTTACGATATTTGTATGTGTAAGATTATTGCTTGTCTGTACATTTATGCCAACTTCAAAGCCAAGAGAAATAATTAAATGGGTTTGTTAATCTACTTGAACTCCTTGTGAAGCTCTTGAATTTATAATGCTTTTTCAAATGCTCTTGATTAGTCTTGACAATCTCAGATGACTTCAAGTAAATACTTAATGCTCTTGAAAAGTCTGGCAGTTAATAGTGATAATATCTGTATGTATTTGTTCAACGTTTTTCAGTAGTCAACAATTAACTTTCTTAAACTTTTTACTTTAAGATGTGTAGAATCTTTCTGAATTAAAACACAGTACCCAATAAACTTTTTTAAAAATTAGTCTTTTTTCTGTAATTCTGTATGAAAAGTATGATGAAAATACGATAATCCAACGGGCTCAAAATCTTGATAATGCTTTATCTAATCCACAGCCACATAATATTTCTAAATTTCTCTGGTTTGCCTGTTGGTTCTCCTGATGTCTTTCCTGTTCTCGAATATTCTGAAAAAAGAATTTTATGATTGAAAATAAATTGGTTGGTCAAATCATGACATGAGCCATCAGTAGTTTCTTTTTCTAATTGTATATATTTAATCATTTTCCCATTATGTAAATGTACGAAACTTCGAAATCACTTAAAAAGGATAAGAAAATATTGCTACCATTCATGCAATCATGTAATGGGTATTTGTCTCACCCCACTCAAAACATTCTGATTTACATGTTGCCGCTGCTGCTGTCTTCTTTGTTGTTGTCTCGTTTGCTATAAAAACGATTATATGATCATAAATAAATTGCTAAGTCATGCAGATCTGACATGAGCCAAATGTAATTTGGTGCCTTAGAAGATTTTGTGCGTAGCTAAGGTGTATTTGTGTTATTATAAAATTTAAATTCATTGAACTTGGAGAGTTGGATTCTAAGTAAACTGTTCTGGTTACATTTTTAATTCTTAGAAAGTAATCATTTTATATAGAATTCTTGGATTCTATATCTTTAATACCATTTATGCAGCCATGAATTTTTAGCTTCACTCACCCAAGCCATGTTTTCCTGTTTGTGTGTCGTTGTTGTTGTTGCTTTTCTCTTCTTGGACGAAAGTGGCAGTTCATTTCATTCATTGGGTGCTCTTTCAGAGGAGACATCTTTCCTAGGTAATACATATCAAGAATAGTGAGGTTGTCACCAACGAAATGTCAAACATGCAAATCTCAATGTTGAGTTGGTAAGAAAGAAATGTGATTGTCAGACATTGTGCTAAAGAGGTATTGTTGTGTTTCTCGTTCGCTTGTTCTTTTAAGTCTTGTTGTGTCAATTATACCCATTGCTTTTGACTGTATAGCTAATCTAACTATTTACTCCAACTTAAGTTTGTGCTATAAATGGGAAACCTTTTTCTTTATTTGTTCACGTATCTTTTACAAAATTCTAACCATATCTAAAACATTTTTAACTCAATAGTGCAGGGTTATGGTTTTGAGAGATGATGTTTTTGCACAAGTATATTCCCCTAAATATTTTTATCTTGGAATTATAAAGGTAGTGTTAATTCTTGTTAAAATTTTCTCAATCAGTTAGATCTCCGTTGGATCTAGAATTTCACCCAGCGAAGATAGTTGAAGCTGTTTCAAATAAGTATGCGTCATGTGCATCGTCCCCAACCCATTATTTGAACTCCATACTCTCGCGTGACCAGTAGTACCTCGCAGGATATTGCATGACAAATTATTTCTCCGCAAACCCGTGGAATAGCTAGGCAAAGTACATTGCCCTTTATCAGTCGTTTTAATATTATTTTTTTACACCCATTCGCTATATTAAAAGGTTCTGAAGACAACTCTACAAGTTTACCAGTGGTACCATCAGAATTTTAGTATAAAGTGAATACACATTTGAATTTTTATATTCATCAACAGTGATTACTTATTAAATTAAATATTTTCTGTCTACCACTAGATCCGCGTATTCTTTTTAGTTTCCATGAGGGGTTAAGAATGTTTTGGTGATGTTGCATTGTGTCTTGTTTTGCCATAATAATTTTTCAATCCTGGTAGCAAAGACATCTTCTACTTCATGATTGCATCCATAGCAATATGGCATAACTTTTGTGTTCCTCAAAATGCATCCCCATCAACAAAGAGATTTTACTCTTCTTCATAAGCAAATGTGAAAAGTATGTTACACTATTAGTCATAAAAATTTCAAAAAGCTTTAATTCTTGAAGTTCAAACATAACCAATTTTTGTGTACACGTAACAAAGTTTGTTTTTTATTGAGGAAGTTGTTGTTGCTAGTATGCTTTGTTATCACAGCTTCCACCTGTTTTAATTATGTTCTAGAATTTACCTACATATTTAAAATTTTGCCCATGCTATGTTGTATACGTAACTTATTTATTCGTGCAAGCAGCAAAAATGTCTTTTTTGTCATAACAGTAACATCATTACTATTTTTTCTGTCCACGAAATATATTCTTCTGTATTTTCCGAATTTACTCCGTTGCTGAATGTTTAGCCAAGTGATTTGTTTCATTATCAACTTATTGCATATTCAATTTAAGAGAACAATATGTACTCGGTAAGGACTCAAAGACGTTTTTGCTTGTCAGACTTCATGCGTAAAATATATTTCACGTATACACGGCGAAATATTTCTTTCAAAAAAGTTCTCTGATAATTTCCTTGTGAATATTAAAGTATTGGTAACAGTGAATTCAATTAACCTTCTCGACTTATGTACTTAACTCTTTAGTTGTTATACGCAAATACACTGTTTTAAATAAAATAAATACAATTGCGTGAATACAGCTAGTGTATTTGTAAAGTGTGATCCTCTTTTAAAATGTGAATGCCTCCGACTTTAAACGGAAGTAGTCCAATGTCAAACATGAAGTCCTTATTTTTGTCAAGTCTATTTTTGCTTTCCGAAAATGTGGTATTGAGACTTAATATGCATACCACTATGGCAAGCCAAAGTGGACAAAAGTGTATTGAGTTTTAAAAATTGATAGTTCAGTGTAAAACTAAGGAAATTGATAGTCGAGAAAAAGAAATCGCATGTTGAGAAAAAGAAATCGCATGTCGAGAAAAAGAAATCGCATGTCGAGAAAAAGAAATCGCATGTCGAGATTCGAGAAAAAGAAATCGTATGTCGAGATTTCTGTCTGTACAAGAGGTCAGCGGTTGACCATTTCAATAATATGGCGGCTGGGGAGAACCATTCAAACGGCATAGTTGGCGAATTGATCAACAGAGTGCAGGAGCTTTCTGAAGCGATAGCAACGCGTGATGTAAATCGCGAAGTTAGGCGCGTGTTTTCAGGTAATCGTTCGAATGAAACAACACAAGATGTTCCTCAACAGCAAAGTGAGTCCTCTCAAACGTCCAGTCGCAGTCGCAGTTCTATTTCTAATCGTCCGGCTCCCTATGTAGCTCGACGCTTTTTCAATTCAACATCAAGGTCATCAGCATCTTCTCAATCATCTAGAGGGATCTCAAGTAGGAAGAAACGGAAATTAACTGATAACAGGCCATTTCTTCGTGACTTAATACTACTTAGTGGCCCCAACGAAGACAAAGTTCCTCGTCAAGGGGCTCGCGTGTTTTTGTCAGAGAACGGTCATGTTGTTAATGGCTGCCAATTTACAAAGAACATGATTGCAGCTCAAGTAGAAACCAGAATCATGGAGATTTTTAATGGTAAAATCCCAGATTTAGTTGACATTGAAATACTTATGTCCGTTTATACTACATTGGTTGCACCAACGTTGGATCCAGATCAGCTGGGAATCGATGGTGTTATTCTTCATCGCTTGTACAAGAACAAACCCGTCTACATTCGCCCAGACACAGAAATACTGAAATTGAATCATTTGGATGTAGATAACAGTGAAAAAAGAAGATCTTCGGTTAGATGTATTTCAATGAAATTATACTCCTCCTCATTTAATTTTAATGTCAAAGTATGTATAGCTGGTGTGATGTGTTCATATAACGTAGTATTCCAAAAATTATCTCCCACATTTGAATTAAACAAGAACTAAACAGTACATAATGGTTGTTACTTACTTTTGATTCGACACAATCTTCCACAGGATTGGAAAGTGAAAAGTTTGACCATACACCAATTGTGATTGATAATTCTTTTATAGTAGAGCATTCTCAAACCCCAGCTGATCCAGCTTCAACAGTCCAACATCACTCCTCATATCTTCTTGAGCAATCCTTAACTGTTCCTGATCATCCATTTACTGTTCCTGATCATTCTATAACTTTTACTGATCATCCTTTAAATGCTAATGACCCTTTTCCAACTCCAACAGTGCAACTACCAGAAACATACAACATTCACCAACAAGGTAAATAAACATACATATGCATACGCATTTACCTTCAATTGTTGCTTTTTTGTTTTATTTTTGTCAATTTTGTCACTACACAGAAGTCCTGGAGGAGCCACAGCTGATCAACAATGACCCAGTGCACTTTGAAAACGAGTTGCAAGAGACAGTGGAGGTATTGGTGCATAGAAGAACTATACGTGTTGATTTGGTCATGGCATTTAAAAATCCTGAAATATTGAAGTACTGCATAAAGTTTTCAGTGATAAATGCAAATGGGAAAAAAGAAGAAGGAACTGGGGAAGGTGTAACAAGAGATGTGCTTTCAACATTCTGGCAAGAATTTTATACGGTTTTGAGCATTGGAAGCAAAGAAAAATCTCCGATTATTCGACATGAGTACCAAAAAATGGAATGGGAAGCTATAGCGAGACTTTTGGTATATGGATATAAGGCTGTTGGTTACTTCCCATTGCAGTTGTCACACATCTTCATGTCAACTTGTTTATTTGGAGACGATCACTTGACTAGGCTAGCTTTGCTCGATTCATTTCATTCTTACATCACCAGCGAAGATAGAGAGATTTTTGACAAGTGTGTCAGTAATGATTTTGACCCCAACAATGAAGAGATTATAGAGTTTTTGTCAAACTGGAACTTTCATAGACTACCAACAAAAGATAACATTCAGGATATCCTTTATGAATTAGCTCATCAAGAGTTAATTCAAAAGCCAAGATATATTGCAAATTGCTGGGGGCCTATCCTAAGCATACTCAAAGTGGATCCTGCTTTTCAAACAATAGAACGTCTCACAAATTTGTATGATTGCAAACGTCCAAGTGCACGAAAAATTCTTCGTATGATCGATGCCGAAACGGAAAATGATAGCCAGAGAAGAGCCCTTGATCATTTGAAGCGTTATGTTCGATCCCTTGAAGGTAACACCCTGAAAAAGTTCCTTCATTTTGTCACTGGCAGTGATGTCATAGTGTGTGATAAAATTACTGTTGAGTTTACATCGCTAGATGGTTTTAATCGTCGCCCTATTGTGCATACATGTGGTCCAATGATAGAGTTACCAACCACATATGATTCATACACCGACTTAGCTGAGGAATTTAACAATATAATGAGGGAAGATAAAAGTTGGTCATTTCATATTGCATAAGTTTTTCTCAAACATTTCTATTGAGTGTTACTATTTACATTTTAAATTGTTTTGTTGAATTTGGATTATTAGTTACAGGCATTTTTAACAAATGGTTAAAATATTTGAAAAAAACTGCTTTAAAAATGACAATAAAAAAGTTTAACCATGATATATTCATACATATCTGTTGTATTCATCGTCTGCATTATCATTGACTACTGTCCTTAATTGAAAGTCCTCGATAATATGTAGAGCTTGCAAGTAATGGTTGATTCCATTATCGCCATCATTTGACATTGGATTAACTTGGTCATTCAAAATCTGAAACTGCTCATCGGTTAGTTCCACATCAGAGTTTGGAACAACAATGTTGTTTGATGTGATAATGTCTGGCAATGGGCCTTCAAAATCTATTCCATACAATTCAAAATTTATTAATGATGATTCGTCTGACTCCAACAGCATGTTCGTTTGCCACATAGCCATAGGTGTTTGGTGAGAGCATGTTCTGAGCCCATGGTAATTCCATTGGGTAACAAATTCAGCCAATGAAGCATTAATTCGAGGTAGATAAACGAACTGTAAACAGAATAGATGCACCTCATTCAATGAATCAAGTAATGAATTCTCTTCCAAATGTTTGAAGATTCCTTTGTAAAGTGCAGATAGAACTCTGTTGACCTCAGCCCATAGTCTTTCTATCCGCTGGTTATGAACACTTCGACCAGCTATATAGCTTCCTCTGTCCATCCCTCTGCTTGAAATCATATATTTTGCCACCTCAAAATTTTCAACACCATGGTCTCCTCTCACTCTCGATGGCAATCCAAAATCTTCAACACCTTGCTTAAATAAATTCAAAACTGTTGATGCTCTATTATCAGTGCAACATTTTAAGTAAATAACGGCTCGACTAAATCCATCAATGCAACCATGTATAACCATCCTCCATGATATAAGCTTGTGATTTGAATCTAGATGCCATAAATTATTGGGTCCCTTAACATTATAAACTCTTCGACAAATAGCATATCTTCTTCTCAAGCTTCGACCTATAGGATCAACACGTTGCAAACTTTCCCTCACTCGTGATCTCTGAACAAGTACACCCCTTGCATGCAAACTTCCTTTCACATAAGTCTCTCCACTATATGGTGTCAATTGCAGGATTTCTTCTATGGTTTGGTCCAAACAACTGTCAGATACTTGAGAATAAGTTGATGCAATACCAAATTCTTCCCTCCTACGTGACAGGGTTTTCTCTGATACCTGTAAAAAAGCAGCAATACTCTTCCAGTTCATGCCTGTCTCTCGCAATAGCTCGATTTTTTCTTTGGTTATATCATACGCTGGCCTACCCCCCGTACTAGGGAGCATTTTCACAATTCTTTCCCTCTGAGTCAGATTTTGATTAAAATTATTTTCCAAAACCTCTGTTATTTTTCATAAATCTATTTTCATGTATTCCATCAGATCATCTAAAAGAGCACCTAGTGAACGTCTTTGTATATTTCCACCAGTAGCATCAGGTTCGCCAAATCTTGTCAGCTCGTGTTGTTGTACTTTAATAGACATTGCTGCAATAACTGGAATATAGATCTCAAGTTTATTTTTATTATATTCTATTAAAACTGGATCATTAACACGAAGACTCTGTGTTATATCAGCAAACAGTTTATCGAGGAAATTAAGAAATCGAATAAGCTCTTCCGTGTCAGACGCATCAGACGCCATTTTTTGAAAAGTAGAATGGTTTAGAAGCTGCTGACCTCTTGTACAGACAGAAATCTCGACATACGATTTCTTTTTCTCGAATCTCGACATGCGATTTCTTTTTCTCGACATGCGATTTCTTTTTCTCGACATGCGATTTCTTTTTCTCGACATGCGATTTCTTTTTCTCAACATGCGATTTCTTTTTCTCGACTATCAATTTCCTGAGTTTTACACTGAACTATCAATTTTTAAAACTCAATACCTTTTTGTCCACTTTGGCTTGCCATATACCACGTCTGATCTCTTGATGAATGTTGAATCCTTATTTACCCTTTCCTAAGAATGGTGTAGTCCAGATTTCAACTAAACTTTGTTATTGTATACATTGCTTGACCAGACGACAATTTCATCATTTGTTTATTGATGGTTTTAAAATAAAACCGAAATATTACAATTCCATTTGTCTTCTTTTGATAACTTGAATTTAAGCTAATAAGATGTCCTTTTTTGGATTCTGCTTTATTTCGTTATTGTATTGTCGAGAATTTACCTCCGCTTTTAGATCGTAGTCCTCGACAACTCACAGACATACGTTTATTCAACTAAATATATTGTACTCGTGCAACCCCAAGTTGCCGTTTTGAATACAGTCACCGTGCACGAACGCTTGCTCTTATTCTAATCACAGTACAGATACTTATGAATAATCGTAATCGTACATCACTATTTCACTATCATAAAAAACAAAACACTTCTAAGTCCCTCCCAATAAATGTCAATTATATTTACTACGGTATGTCGTCAGTCCCAACAGTATGTTTTGTGTTTTATTGCTGGTATATTATTTTTAAAATAACATTATAACTAATGCCAGATACGCTTTCAATATTGGTTTTGGCTTTGATGAACAATAGAAGGCACGACTGCATGTCTTCGAACAACAAAAAAAATGGAGAATAGTTAAGTAGTTTGTCTAAGTGCTTGAAGTTTTATAAAAGTACTTTAGATTATAAGGCTTTTTCAAGAGCTCTTAAAAAATATGGCAAGCACTATTGACCATTTTCGTATGCTTCCTCTAAAATCTGCAAGCCAGCAGCAGTTTGTACTTTTTCGAGAGTGTTATGACTGATTAGTTTATCACAAAGATCTTTTGAAAGTCCGACAAATTTGGTTATTTAAGATGGGCGTTGATTCAACCAACAACACAGGAAGAAAGAACAAAGTGTATTTATTTTCTGAAAAGCACAGCTCTTTATTTTGTCCATACTATTCACAAAAAGAATGGTATTATTTTACACAATATACTTTTTATTTTAATCTCTTGCTCTTTTGATTTGCTTATATATTTGAAACGGTTACAAACTCAGTACATTATGGGGCTGGTTACATGAGCCCGGGTAGCCGGGTTCAGCCAAGCGTTAAATAATTTTGGCAAATGGAAAAGATTTAATACTTATCATCCGATAAATTTTCCTCGGCAATTTCACAATATTCTGATTTAGTAACTATACGAATAACATTCAAAATTAAACAACAAATTTGGCCTACTTTGAGAATTACCACAGAAATTACTTGTGGCGATTAACAAACAGTTTTAATTTTTTCGCTTGAAGGTTTGCCTCTTTTTAATGCGTCGAAATTATTTTACGCATCACTGAGTCCCGGTTAGCCGGGATCATGTAAACAGCCCCTTACTTTCATATACATGCGACTTAAATTGGGTATACTTATTTACCATATGACATTAAGTTAGCTGATAGAAAATGTTTGGCAAATGTTGAAATCTGTGGGTCATCACATATAAAACTTTCTTTACAACATTACCAATATAGACTATGTTAACTCGCCCACGGCAAAACCTGCTGGTTTTCTTGCTGCTGCTGTTTCTGTCTTTTTTGCTTTCCTCTAATTCGCTTAAATAAGAATTTTATGACGATGAATAGATTTCTCAGTCGAATCTAACATAAGGGATGGAGTAGTTTTTGTCCAAGTGGTTGCTATTGTTTATTTTAAGAATACGAATTGTACGAGTTTGACATTTAGACTGAAGTTTTGAGAAAGAAATAGCCAACTGACTCTTTCTATGGTTAAAACATGTCACTTTTTCCATTGTGCTTACTCATATTTGAAATGGTAGCAACAAATTAAGTGCATTAATCTTAGGTAATTAGTTGTTCACTCTATTACAATTAAGAATAAAAATCATGCAGTTATAATAGCAAACAATACATTTTGGCATAAAACTTTGCTCATGTAAATCACTGGATTAGAAGATTTTTCAAAGTTTTTCCCAATAATATTGATCCTTGCTATGTCTATCAACATATCATTATTTTCTAAAATGTATAATACTAACTGGTATAAATATTATTTTAGTTGAAGTTGAAGATATTTTTAGCTCACAAAGATTGTGGTCTTACGTGTAACATCTTAGTACTCCTTTGAGGATTTTAGAACCGTGTTCGAATTAAGTTGCCATTCAGGTCATATTTCGTTTAGGCAACGTTGTAGATGCACTAATTAAGTATGAACGCTCTTAGTGAGAAGAACGTTATGAGTAAATGGTATATATGTTTTACGTGATGCTTAATTGTAAATGTAGATCGTCCAGGTTGGTATAGTCCTGAGAAGGAAAGTTTTTGTTGTTGTTGACTGACGTTTCGACAACCTTAGCGGTAGTCAACTTCAGAGTTAAAAATTTTTTTTTCATCGTCAGAGTCAAAAAAAATAATTTTTTTTTAACTCTGAAGATGACTACTGCTAAAGTTGTCGAAACGTCAGTCAACAAGAACAAAAACAGTCCTTCTCAGGACTATACCAACCTGGATGATCTACATTTACAAACATGTAACGATACTCCCGGGTTCAAACCATTTACTTTATTACTTGATGCTTATTGATATTTTAGCTACTTAGGTAAAGTGGCATCACAACTTTAGTAGTTATATCAGGACAGAGAAACAAGATTAATCAATTTATTGAGATGGCTGTAGTTGTTTTATATATAAGAGTTAAGAATTTAAAGAATTTCACCAAAAATAAAACCTTGAGTAGTTGAGTTGTACATACATTTTCTTTATTTCTTCATTTGTTTTTTTATTTGATAACCACAGAGCTTTCATGGCGAAGCTTTAAAACTTTAAGTACCTACATATCCCAAATAAATTAAATTCCTTTTTCGACATAGTCGTTCGATGATTGGGCTTCATGATTCGTTTCAAAAAAGAATGTGTAATTTTGAACCAATTTTAACATTCATGTAATTATATGATTAAAGGCATGTTGGTTACCCCATTACATTCTGTTTGTATCGGCAAATACAATGCTACTGGTAATTGCTATATAGCAAACCTTGCATAAACTTATAGAAGATTATAGTCTAGTGAAATTCCTAATAAAAATTAATAACATTAAGCTGTCCTTAATTGCAAATTTTTACCCTGTAGTAACTGTCCCTTGTAGTACCTCATTTCTATTTTAACTCATTATATAGAGGTGTGAAAGGGGTCTCTAAGGGGGTCTATGCCTGACAATTTGGTAGAAAATTTTAAAGATTATATCTTTTTTAGAATAGCATTATTGTCAAGTAAATTTTATGTTCCTAGGCATGGCAATGAGCCTTATATTTGGCATGATAATGAGCCTAAATAATTGGCAAAACATTCAAGTATTGTTCACTTTAATTTTTTTTGAAAAAACATAAGAAAAATATATTGTTTTCACGGAAAAACGATGCCCACAAAAAACAGTTTGTATTGCTCTAAAACGCTGAAAATGGCATTTCCAAGGCTTTGAAATTCAGGAGAGAATGCCTCGGAGACACCCCCCAGGTGCGAAACACCTCCGGCGTTCCATGACTGATGTTTGAAAATCCTAAATCCACCCCTGCTCGACAAAATCGAAAATATTTCTTGCAGGACGAAAATATCATATAATAAATTGACTCAAGCTATCTTTGCTGGAAATATCACTTCGAAAATGCAATATTTTAATTGCTCCAAGTTTCTATGGAAGCATATTGCTTCTTCATGGAGGTTGTATAAATATTGACTTAGGCCCTGTCTACAAGTATCAAATGTTATTTGCAATAAACACAAAATCGTCGGAAATATAGACTTTTCTGGATGTGATTAGAAAAAAGTAACAATAAACAGCGCATTCTATATAATTATGTTAAGTTTACTACCATAATACAAGTGTCTATATATCATATATATGCAATATATATGCTATATATGCAATCTAAGACTACGTTTACACTACGCCGGATAAACGCTTCTCTATAATTGGACTGGGTTTATCCTGATCCGTGTAAATTCTGCTGCAGTTTTGCGGGTATTTACACATAATGTCTCTTGCTGTCAAAATTCGTTATTTGTTTGTGAAAGATATCGCCATTTCTTATTTGCATATTACTGGATGTTTATATCTCTAGCCATAGGTTATGAAAAACAATGATATTTAATAATTACAACGGAATTAGTCATTGAAAGCTTTTCAGAACGTAAAATGATTACCATCCGAATTAAGGCCAATTTATGTTTCTTACGACATGTGTCACGTGACACTCTGGCTTGTGCAATCTATAGGCACGCGCCATCCGACAATCAAATAAAGCATTTATAGTAAACGCGACAACCCATGCGACAACCACGCGAAATCTGCATACAAATTTAAATTATGTTGATATTTACATT